TAAGCAGAGAATATAAACTAAGTTGAATGAAGTTGGATGTACTTCCACTTGGATGTTTTGTGTTTAAAGAAACACAAATAATATATCGCATATCAAAAATGCAAATGTCAAATTTATTTTCCACTCTTAATAAATAAATCTCAATAACAGTAATAATAAAGCTATATGTGATATAAACTTTACATTATAAAAGGAAGAGGGAAGCCTTGAAATTTATCATGTAAAAAACTCTTAAGAAAATTTGAAGTTTGCTTGAAAATCTTTTAATCTTGGTTAAAAGAATAGTTCAATATTTTGGCAAATGGCACTGCTGCAAATAAATTTATTTTTCCAATGATATATACATACAGATTCCATATTTCCTGATATTTTAATAACCTTCAATTACTGGGAATATTTCCAGAAAGAAATATGTGACTACAACAATCAGCAATTTCTATTAAGTATGTTAACTTTTATGAATTTCAGTCCTCATAAGGTAATATTAGGGCAAGGTCAAATCATGTCAGTGTATGTCCCAAAATGCATTTCCAAACTCAAGATGATCATAACCTACTATTTTTATTAAGTATTCTTTAAGATACCCCATATACTGTACATATGTTGTGTTAATTATATTTTAAGATAGCAAGATACTAACTTTATAGTTTTTAAAACAATGGCAAGACAAGGATAATTAGTCCAACATTATCTGGGGGCTTATAATTCATCCAGTTCAGCCCTCTGTTGTCTGCTGGCACTGATTCTTTAGGATTCCAGAAAAAAAGGTTTTTATGTCACATGCTACCTATTTTTTCCACTGGAGATATAATAGACTATGACATCTTTTACAAGCAAAGCTTGGGTTTGAGTTATGGATCCTTTAGCTAAGTCTTTTGAGCTTTATGCTGATGAAGTTAAAAGAGACTGGGGAGACAGTCAAAAGCATTTTGTTGTGGAGAGAGAGGCGAAACAGTTGAGCTTTAGAGTGGGATATAAATGAACTTTAAGGATTATTTTATAAATCAATGGAAGAAGTGAGAATTGAAATGTGTAGTAGTCACCTCAAATGAATGCATCTCCTTGCTGAACTATAATGAGCTCCAGGTGGTAGTCCCTTCCCCCTCTTCTGTGCCCTGATGCTTCCAATTTTATCCAACTATTTCAAATTAGAAGTAGTGCTGGATGTGAAATGTGACCTTTCACCTCTTTACAACAGTTGTGATTACTGTATTATATGCTTTTGGAAATCTGAGTCATTGGTTGAATCGTGCAACATGGATAATTGAGCTCAAGTTACTTCAAAGAGTGTTCTTTTTACAGAAGTTACACAGTTCTTATAAAGATGTGCCACTTTCAGACACAAAATGGAAAACAGCTGTATGCTTCAGAGAAGAACATTGGCCATCCCAGACTCAGACTGGGTGAAGGAAAAAGCTCTGGCTATATAGCCTTTTTAAATCCATGCCAGTTGGTTTTAATGGGCTATGCCTTTTCAATTTATTAGAAGAATTACTTATTTTACAGTATATTCAAAAATGTAATTATGATAAATCCTTGTTCTGGCAAGTTTAAAGGGATGATCTTTTAAAAACATGGGTTGCCTCTGAACCACTCAAATACATTGTCTGCACTGGGCAAAGGGCAAAACAGTTCACTTTTGTTCCTCATTTTATACAACATTGAGAACTGAATTTTATTTTGACACTGGTAAGAGTACACATTATTCAGTAATACACTGAAGGCTGTTTTAGTGGTATGCCAAGCACTATTTAGTCATGCTATGCTATCCAGTAACACTTTTGTCAGTACTATCTTCAACAATTCCTGCCACTCAAGGTGGCTACCTTATTCTACCAAACAGTTCATGTTGTTCCCTGTCTACTCTGGCTAGTAGCAGTTCTCTCTCCTTTCTTAGGCTAGCTATATGTAACACTTCAATTTAAGGAGCAGGGAAACTCCTGAGCCTAATAGGGCCTGCCAGCTAGGCCCATCTCCCTTCCAAATGCCTGAGTCATAAAATTTAATATGCATCATGTTTTGATTTAGCATTTTATATTTGCCATTAAAATTAAACTTTGCAAAGGTTGATGAAGGAGGGAGAGAAAAAGAGATAAATGTGTGTGGTACAGCTGGATAGTGTAGTGGTTATAGCATGGATTTTGAAGTGGGAGATCAGGAATCAAATCCCAGCTAGTACCTACAATAGGGTTAAATGGGATAAGGCCCCCTAATGTTTCACCTACCTATCACTAATATGAGAATGACATGAACTAGGAGAATCATGCCAGCTGGGACATAACCTGGATTAACAAGATCTGCATCAGATGTTTGGGAACCAGGACAACATGATGATGTGGGCTACTGGAACAAATTACATATGGATGAGACAAGAGAACCAGGAATTGATGGAATGTAACTACAGCAATACATCTAATGAGAAGTGGTATAGGAAACATATGAAGGAAATATAGATGGACAGAAGACTTGCATCCAAACTAACTGGGAAATACCGAGTTAACCAATGTTTCAACATAGTGAAGAGGAAACTGCTTTCATAATTTTTGATAGGCCAACTACACATATCTTGGACTTTTTTGATACATTTCACAAGGAAAATAGCATGGCTACTGATGTAAGAATCACATTTGTATAATGTGCCTTGGTTACAAAAGTCTTTTCATATTAAATACAACTGTTTGGGAAATCAACTGAAGTTTTTGCAATAGTAGCACTGAGTCTAGAAAAGAAATACTGAATGACTATCAATCAGTATGGAAATTAGGCAATGTTTGTATTAATATTTGAGGCATAGAATGAAAACTATTTCTAAAAGGATTATATTGAAATATATTGAAACTATAATTTTTCTGTTTCCCTTTTTGAGTGAATAGTCATAATAAATATAATTCACATGCTTGTTGGGTACATAACATGTACTGTGTCAAAATCATCTGAAACACAATATGATGTGTGAATTCAGCCATTGATTTACTTGGGATCTGCTTCAGCATGGAAAAAAGCATGTATCCCATACTGGCTCATATTAAAATAAAATGTACCTGAAAGATATGTAGCACATCAGAGAAGATCCAGATTAATATTTTAATGTTAATATTTCTGTCATGATGATAGAGAGAATAGAAAATGAAAGAGAAATAAGAGCTGGAGACTACTGCTGATATTTATTTATTTATTTATTAATCAAATTTCTATACCGCCCTACTCCCGGAGGACTCAGGGCGGTGAACAGCCAAGATAAAATACAGATAATACAAATATTAAAAGTCCCTTAAAATTATTAAATATTTTGGCTGAAACACAGATTAAAACACCCAATTTATAAAATCAAACGAATTAAAAATTTAAAAAAGGAGAGTTAGGCCAGGCCAGCCTGCTGGAACAAAAGTTTTGAGAGCACGACGAAACGTGCTCAGGTCCGGGATCCTCCATATCTCTGGGGGGAGCTCGTTCCAGATGGTAGGTATATTTCCCAATATCTCTTGAGTCTTCAGATTAGTAACACGCTGAATACAAGGTTATCATATCTTGGAGTTTGATTCAGAAGCTTTGGATTTCAGCTCTAGATTTAGTTTTTGGTTTTAGCACTTCATACCAGGACCAAACAGATGACACAAGGCTTCATGCTGTGCTGATGGAGACTCCTGCTATTATGGAATCCACAGAATGCTTATAAAATTATTTTGAATTTAGACTTCTAACCATGTATTCAACACTCTTTCACTCTTTTAAACAGATGTTTTTTTTTAAAAAGGCTCACCTAATAGTTAATGCAATAATGGGGTTGTGCCATGAACAAGGGTCTACTGTTGTGCAAATAGACATTATACTCAGTCCTGTCAACTATGGACTTCCTTCTTCAACATGGGTGTAAAACTCACAGCATCACGTGACATATCGTGCCATTTTTCCCCTTTGCAGAGCTGGAGTGGGCCTGGCCTGCACGTGATGCATCGTGCCCACAGGCTGCCAGTTTGACACTCCTGTTCTTCAAGCACTAGGTCTTTGAGCCAAATAAAGGTGGAAATCTGGCAAGTAGAGGGAGAGCTAAATTTGAAAGAAGTAGACTCTCTCCAGCTGGTATATCAATTTGCCAGCAATACATGTTTATGACACACAGATTGTGCTTTTCCAGGTGCTGGCCAGATGAAAGTGGTAGTCTTATATGTGACTTTTTATTCAATGATAAAATGTCTTGAGATCTGTAAATAAAGGATAACATTCAATCTAAATATTAGTATATTACAATAAATATACAGCAACTCAATCTGGACAATATAAATACTAGCCAAAACTAAACACATCACACTACAGATTAAAATGTCAATCTAGTCAGTGAATTCAGTGATTCTAGCATGTTGTATTCCATAAACAATGTGAAAACATCTTTTGTGAAAAAGGCTTATTCCTCTAAGGCTCTAAGTCTTAAGAGCCTTCAGAGGAATAAGCCTTTTTCACAAAAGATACTAGAATTACTTCTTGATTTACAACCACAATTAGGACCAGAACTTGATTCACACAACCTATCCATATGCTTTTTTTGTGGGTGATTAAACTGAGGTTTATTCAATAAGCCATGATCCAGTCAAGCACTGTTGAGTACAGGTATACCCAACTTTATTTTTTTTTAAAATAAGCCTTCCATACAATCCTGCCCATCATCTTTTTACAGGTAGAAGACGCTGAAATTCCTCCCCTCCCCAGGTGGCCCGTATAATTTTAGCACCTGCACGGGCTACCCAAACGCACGGCCGAAAAGCGCTCCGGACTGCTTAAGAGAAGCGAAAAAAGGCGGCAAAATGCGAGCAACGGAGGAGACGCCTCCAGTAGCCCAGGAGGACAACAAGTCCACGTGTTAACCAAAGAGGAGTCCGGGCAAAGCTGCCTTGCATGTGCCAAGAGATTCCCTCGACCAAGCTCCCTCTGCTCCATAGAGAAGGGTCGCCAGGGGCAGGCACAGACCCGCAGGGATGAAGCGCGAAGCTGGGTGCTCCGACGTCGAAGCCGCGCCCCTCAGCCGTGGCCATTCGGCTTCGTTGCGGAAGAATCTGGTGCCTACAAGGGGCGGGGGAAGCTGGCGGAAAGCTGGCCTGCATTAGGAGGGAGGAGGAGGAGGAGAGTGAACGAGCTAGAGAAAGATGTCGGCGGCCGGCGGAGGGGCTACTTCCGCCGTGACGGTGTTGACCCCGAACGGGAGGCGAGTGACGGTCCGAGTAGGCCCAAGCACCGCGCTGATCCAGGTGGGCTTGGTGACGGGCAAAACGGGGGGGGGGGGAGGGTTGCGTTCGATCTGATTGGCCCCGGTCTGGAAAACAGGTGAGCAGGCTGGTTATGATTGGGTCTGCGGACAGGTCGTTGCCCTCAGTAGCTCTCAGGGCCGTAGAATGTTGTTGTGGGGGAAAGCACAAAGCGTATCGGGTGGCCTTGTCGTTAAAAATAGAAAGCTAGGCCTTTGAGGAAGGGAAGGGGTTTATGTGCTACCCAGGTGAGGATTGTGTTTTCTCACGCTCCTCTTTGCAAAGGGGGTTCCGTGGAACACTGCCTCTTCCTGTGGATTCTCACCATTCTAGTTCTCTCTTATGGGGAACAGAAGGGACTAGTGCCCCTATGCTTCGCAAAGTGTATTTGGTGGTCCCTATATAAAGTGTGTTTGGCCCCTATACTACGCCAAAGTGTATTTGGTACAGGCTTGCCTTACTAAGTGTAACTTGGGGATGCGCTGCCCTGAGAAATAATAATAATAGTAGTAGTAGGTTACATGATCTATTGAGCCACAGATTAGCCAGCTACAACTTAACTTACTGCCAACCCGGTTTGTATGATTACTATATGGCTCAGAGTGTTATGTGAAGCCAGAAAAATTGGGATAATAAAAGCAGTTGAACTAACTAACCTTTGGCCTGTGTAAAGGAAAAGGAACTGAAGAGAAATTAATTATATAAGTGATTGAATCAGAAATTGGGATACTTAAGAGTTTTGGGGTCCATTGAATGTTTTCACTATTACTTTAAAACCAGATTAAAAATGAATGGCTATATTTGCATGAAATGCTTCCTATGGTTAATTTATTGATGTTTTACTTAATCTATTTTTCTGGGTTCTCATGATACGCTGATCCAGAGGCTATCCACAAGAGCTGGATTTGCGTAGCATGAGGTAAACTAAAACAGTATGTTCACATCCAATGACTCCTAGTTTTTCTTTCAAACTTTCTTCTCAGCAATCTAATTTAGTGGTGAGATTATTTTCAGACAGTTTATAGAATTTCATAGATAAACTGAATATCCCTAATAGATCCTAATTTATATTCTACTACACTTGACACAGAGACTAGTTCATCACTTTAAGAGATTATACATCATATTAAGCCTCAGTTTTTAAATATGACATTAAATAAGCTCAAATTCACCTATTGTGTTAAATGATATGCCATGGTTTACAAGTTACAACCAACAGTTTTGTTCATAATGTAATAAAGTAAGGTAAACTAAAAGCAACATTTTTACTTAGTGTGATGTGTGAATCTTGATAGGATGAAATTTATTGCTGTGTTGACATATTGAGCCAAAAATCCAGTTAATGAGAATACACATTGTAATGGCAAGCATAACAGATTCTGGGTTTGAATGTTTATGGTTAAAGAGTCCTGCACAATGGAGATCATGTGGTCATGGCTAATGCCTTTTGTGTGAGGTATGTGTAAATGAAAGATAAATGTTTTTCATTCAACATAATTTAAGACTTCTATAACTGTTTCCAATGCCCTGCTGAGGTAAAGCAATATTTTAATTTCACAATTGTTTTTAGTTGTTGTTGATATTTGATTTATTTTGTTTAAACGTGTGTTTCTTTCTGAACTTCTCTGGGAGGAAGAGAATATAGAAATAAGTACACTTGTTCACATTAACTCTTTTCTTGCTGTGCAAACAAATTTTGGTTATATTCTCTTTTCATACAGACTAGTTTGGCACCTTGTGCTTAGCCATTTTTTAAAATTTAAGTATGGCTTATGCAATAAGTACAAGTGACAAGATTGACAGTCATTCTAAGACATAAAAAGTGACTATATTGACATCCTGGACTAAGCTAAAACAAAACAATTGTATGATTGTGTGTCATATATGGACATAGACACTAAGCACAGTAAATTTATATCACACAAGTTATTTTCCATTTCTGGTAATCAAGTTGAGTTCTGCTTCTGTTAGCTACATGAACATATTCACACTGTTTTATTAGCATTATGAAAGTGGTTTGAAACTACCTTCTTCCAGATTTTTTAAAACTTTAAAGTACAATTTATAGAAATATGATTCCTATCTAAATATTAACCAAATCTGATTGACTTTTTTTTTGAGATTAGATAGATGCCTATACTTACATTTAATTTATAATTGTTTACAATTTATAATCTTTCTGAGCCGTTGCCTGCAAATTCAAGGGAATAGGGTTTTCCCTAAATTTGTCCCCACAACTATAAGCCTATGACATATATCCAGTAGTAAACAAACGGGTATTTTGATACAGATTCGACACCATAGCTATTGACTCTTAGCATAAACTACAGGTAGTCCTTGATTTATCACCAGTCACTTAAAAACTACTCAAAGTTTTGACAGACCATTCTAGGGCTACTTGCAACCTGGATTTGAAGCTTTGATGGTGAAGGACCCCCTCCCATAGTCATATCGCATTTTGAACACTCGGTAAATAGGGCCCACGTTTACAGTCATTTTCAGCATCCTTTGGTCATATGACCATAATTTACAATGTTTCTGTAGTGTTTGCATTACAACTGATACATTTGCTTTATGACTGCTGCAAAAAAGGTGGTAAAATTGGTGATAGTCAAGTGGTGGCCTACTTAATGACTGTTATGACTTACGACCATAAATCTAGGCACAATTACAGTTGTAAATTGAGGACTACTTCTATTTTGGCACTTGTTATAGCCATGATTCAATGACCATGTTGTGTCTAGAACTAATATAATTGAGATACCTCACTTTCTGTGAAAAGTAATATCATTTGTGAGCAATTAATATGATTCTAAAATGCATTTTTGTTGATCTAAGTTATGAGGAAAAAAGGTTGTTCTTCCCTTTGTAGATGTGAATTTGAATTACTACTTGACACATAAGTGAGGAGAAAGTAAATAATCTATTTGAAATATCTTCTGTATGTCAATCCAAATTAATTCTCTCTATTTTTTTTCTTCAGGTCTTGGAAGAAGTTTGTAGAAAGCAGAATTTTAGTCCTAATGAATATGATTTGAAGTAAGTCTTACTGCTTTATTTATTAATCAAATTTGTATGGCCGCCCATCTCACAAAAAGCGACTCTGGGTGATATAAATTGAATAAAACACTAGATATAAAAACAACAGATATAAAAGCATAAAAATCCACACCAAAAGATAAATATTATAAAAAACAAATATACAAACCCTAGGCAGAGAGAGACTAAGAATGCTCACCTCAATGATGGAGCCATCTAGCCAAGTCTCCGGTTCTGTGGGCACCCCTAGGCCTGGTCATATAGTCAGGCCTTCTGGAATGTCAAAAGGGGTGGGGCAAAACTATTTTTTGCCGAGGGGGGGGAATATTCCTTAATGCAGGTACCACAATAGAAAGGGTACGTCTGGTACACACCAAATGTAGATCCCTACCTAATGATACCCACAAGCATGCCTTCTCTGCCAGAGCTAATGGGGTGGGCTGATGTAACTACAGAGAGATGGTCCCTCAGACAGTCCAGTCCCATGTCATGAAGGGTTTATAATGTTAAAATCGGCACCTTGAATTGTACCTGAACAGATTGGCAACCAATACACAGCTTCCAATTTTCCATTTTCCATTATTTTATAGGAAAAAACATCTGAAAAAGTTTATAGTAATAATTCGAAAGATATTCCTTTTATCTGATTCTCAATGTGTATGTTTTCTAGATTGAGTTTTGACAGAAGTTAACTATTTACTATTGCATCAAATTATATTGTACTATAATGGAAATTCATATCCCTTCTTTCTACTTACAGTAAGATAAACACATTCTAGTAGGGAGACCCCTCAATGCCTTAATAACTGAGATAATTTGAGTATAAAGTTCTAGAATCTCTAAATTTAAATTTATTGGAGAACTTAATAGCATAATAGATAAAGGACTGTTCATTATAACTTAATATTAATATTAATTTCCTGAGACTCTGGCACACGACTCGACTGAAGACCTGGTGGCCGCCTGGGATAGTGCGGCACAGGGGCTTTGGACCGCGTCGTGCCTTTGCGGCCTCTGACCTGATGCCGATCTCAATTGGTTCCTTGGTTCTCCGAGGAGCTGAGAGAGATGAAGCATCGGAAAAGACGCCTAGAGAGTGTTTGGAAGGCTAGTCAATCCGAATCTGACCGGACACAGGTGAGGTCTTATATCAAGACCTACCTAGTAGCGATAAAAGCGGCAAAATCTAACTATTTTTCCGCTCTTATCGCATCTGCAGAGAACCGCCCAGCTGCTCTGTTTAGGGTGACCCACTCCCTCCTTCGGGTGGAAGTGCGGGAAGATCCCTTGCAGGGTCGAGCTGAGGATTTTGTGCAATTCCTGCAAGATAAAGTCACTCAGATTCGGGCAGGCTTGGACTCCGACTGGGTGAGTCCGGGGAGGGAAACGGGGTTGAGTCTTGAGAATATTATCTGGGAAGAGTTTGACCCTGTGGCTCCCGAGGATGTGGGCAGGATTCTGGGTGGGCTTAGTGCTGCCACATGTTTATTGGACCCGTGTCCCTCCTGGTTGGTACTGGCCTCCTGGGAGGTTACACGAGGCTGGCTCCAGGGGATTATAAATGCTTCTTTGAGTGAGGGTGCCTTTCCCGCCGCCTTGAAAGAGGCGGTGGTGAGGCCCATCCTCAAGAGGCCATCCCTGGACCTGGCTATATTAGCAAATTACCGTCCGGTCTCCAACCTTCGTTTTGTGGCGAAGGTTGTCGAGAGAGTGGTGGCACGACAACTACCCCGGTACCTGGAGGAAGCTATCTATCTGGAGCCGTACCAGTCGGGCTTCAGGCGGGGGTACAGCACAGAAATGGCATTGGTCGCGTTGGTTGATGATCTCTGGAGGGCTCGGGACGGGGGTTGCTCCTCTGTCCTGGTCCTATTAGATCTCTCAGCGGCTTTTGATACCATCGACCATGGTATCATGCTGCAGCGGTTGAGGGGGTTAGTAATTGGAGGCACCATGTTACGGTGGTTCTCCTCCTACCTCTCCGACCGCTCGCAGTTTGTGTTGGCAGGGGGGCAGAGGTCGACCTCGAGGCGCTTCGCTTGGGAGGTGCCGCAAGGGCCGGTCCTCTCGCCCCTTCTGTTCAACATTTATGTGAAGCCACTGGGTGAGATCATCCATGGTTTTGGGGTGAGAGTCCATCACCGATGACACCCAGCTGTACATCTCCACCCCAAACCACCCCAATGATGCCCTTGATGTGATGTCCCACTGCCTGGAGGCCGTGCGGGTCTGGATGGGGAGAAATAGGCTCAGGCTCAGGCTCAACCCTTCCAAGACTAAGTGGCTGTGGCTTCCGGCATCCCGGTATAGTCAGCTGGTGCCATCGCTGACTATTGGGGGTGAATCTCTGCCCCCCACAGAGAGGGCTCACAATCTGGGTGTCCTCCTGGACTCACAGCTGTCTTTAGAAGAGCATATGACGGCCGTAGCCAGGGGGGCTTTTTATCAGGTTCGCCTGATCCGCCAGTTGCGTCCTTTTCTGGACTGGGACGCCTTGCGCATGGTCACACCCTCGTCACCTCCCATCTGGACTATTGTAATGCTCTCTACATGGGGCTCCCCTTGAAGAGCACTTGGAGGCTCCAACTGGTTCAGAATGCGGCCGCGCGGGTGGTTATGGGCGCACCTCGTTACGCCCATGTAACACCTCTCCTGCACGAGCTGCATTGGCTCCCAGTGGTCTTCTGGGTGCAATTCAAGGTGTTGGTCACTACCTTTAAAGCGCTCCATGGCATAGGACCAGGATATTTACGGGACCGCCTTCTGCCACCAATAGCCTCCCACCGACCAGTCCGCTCCCACAGAGAGGGACTCCTCGGTACCGTCGGCCAAGTTATGTCGGCTGGCGATACCCAGGAGGAGAGCCTTCTCTGTCGGAGCTCCTGCCCTTTGGAATGAATTGCCCCCGGATATTCGTAACATCTCTGATCTCTGGCTCTTTCGCTGTGCCCTCAAGACCCTACTGTTCTGACAGGCGGGGCTGTCTAACTGAATGATTTTAAATTGGGTTTTAATATTGAGTTTTAAAATTTGGCCAAAATCATTTAATGATTTTAATTAATTTTAACTATGATATTGTATATTTATGTTTTTAATCTTGGCTGTACACCGCCCGAGTCCTTCGGGAGAAGGGCGGCATATAAATAAAATTATTATTATTATTATTATTATTATTATTATTATTATTATTATTAGTTAATAATTATTAAATACTAGTATTTATTATAGTTCCAATATTGACGGTTATGTTTTTCTCATTTACCTTTAATTTTATGAGAAAGAGAAAGTGGTATTTGTGAATATTTCCAAATATAATGGGTTCCAGCTGCAGAAAAAATCCTGGCAATAGTTTGTACCTCATTCTCCTCCTGGCTGGTATTCCAGACAACTTTATTTTGGTTGCTCAGCTGACACTTACTGAGTTGTTGAAATCATCTTTATGTAAATTTAATTAATTTCCCAGCCCCTTCGTTTTTTAAAAAATGATCAGTGGACATATACCCACACTCTAATAGCTTTAATCCTTAGTTTTACTCTCAATTGTCCCCGGGTTTGGATGACATAACTGAATCCAAATCTAAAATCTGGCTTAGCATTCTTTGTAAATACACTCATTGATTGGTTCAGATATTGTTCTAAACCATGGTTTGCCTAAATATGACTTGTTGAATAAACCATAATTGGTTAGAATCATGCAGCATTAATCCATGAATCTTGGTGAATAAAATCTCAATACATGGCTTCATACAGTGAAATAAAACACACTATGTTATGGCTTAGTACAGGAAGTCCTCTATTTATACCACAATTGGGAACAGAATTTCTGTTGCTAAGTGATGCTGTTGTAAAATGAGATTTGACATGCTCACATTGCTTAGTGGCAGCAACCCTGGCGTTCCCCATTGTGATTATTAGCTGAGGACCCATCCTAATCTGGCAGCAGGAAGCCCCAGAATTGCATGGCTCTAGGGCTGCTTGTCATGTCGCAGGAAGCTGCAGCTACATTGCACTCTGCCCTCCTCAGCTTACCTTTGCTGTCATCTTGTTCCCATTGATGACAAGTGTGACATGGTTCTGGGGCTGCAAAAATTAGCCCCTGAGCTGCAGTGCAAAGGCCAGCCCCAACTCAACCCAGGAGTATGACACAAAGGACCTTTATAGTGCATTACATCTGTGGGGCTGCAAAATGTGGCCCCTGAGCCACAGCACAAAGCCCAGCAGTGCACGGCAAAACTTTAGTCACCCCAACCCAGTCCCAATCTCAGTCTTTCAAGGAAGCCACTGTGTGTGACCTCGAAGAAAGCCTCATGTGGCCAGCAGCTGCCTTGCAAAGGGCTATGCTAAATATGCCTAATCAGCAGGAGCAAGAAATAGTAAAGGTCAGTTGGGGAGATGGAGCACAGGACTAGAGATCAGAAGGGCATAGATAGGGAGGAGAAAGGCAGTGGGAGTTGAAGTACCCCTGTGGTCATAATTGTGGGTGTAGGCTGCAGGGATGGGTTCTACTTACCTTTACTACCAGTTTGCAACGGGAGCAGATCCTCGATTATGATGTCCAGGCAGGTGGGTGGAGCCTCCCGCCGCTTTTACTACCAGTTTGCAAGAACCAGACAGAACCGGAAGCAACCCACCACTGGTAGGCTGTTAAGTGTCCAAATTTTGATTATGTGGGTGCTACAAAAGCTGCAACTACAGGTGCCTTTCATAAGTCTCTTCATTCAGCACTGCTGTAACTTTGAACAGTGACTGGATGAGTGGCCATAAATCTGGGATTATCTGTATGTAAATTTAGCCTTTCTGACTAACTTCCATTTTAATCATTGTTTTCCCAAATAAGAGCTTATCCTTCTACTGTATTTATTGATATAATCACTTTTAGAAATAATTTATTGAAAAAAATAATGCACCTTCAGTGTAAAAACTTATTAATAGGCATGTATGTTTTTCAGATTTCAGAGGACCGTGCTGGATCTTTCTTTGCAGTGGAGATTTGCTAACGTACCCAACAATGCCAAATTGGAGATGGTGCCAGTCTCTAGTAATAGAGTAGTGATTGAAAATACAGTATGTACTTTTCACTTTATGATGACTTTATTTTTATTTATTATCAAGATCTTTGTAGATATTTCTTAGACAACGATAAATTCCCCTCCCCCTTAGCAGGGATCCCTGTCTACCTTATGGTAAATATATGAATATAAATTATTTAAATGAAGTGTTGTGCATTTTAAAATACTATATAAAAGCATTCTTTAATCTCTATAGAATATGCTAATTTACTTTTCATTTTTAGTTCCCTTCCCTCTAGTATAGTCATGTTTTTATACAACCTGAAAACAAGCATGTGCTGTTTCTGCCAGTAGGTGGTATTAACAAACCTGGATGATTGCATTGTAGTTTGCTTATGTGGAAATTAGAAAATCTGACTGATTCTTGTGTTAATAATACACGGAGTTTGAAATTATACTTTGCCTTGGCTTAAAACTTGGATTTATCTGGGAAAGAGCAAGTTAGCACTCTTTTAAAAAATGAATGGGTCTATCCTTCACTAACCTTCCCTACTGGTTTGCAAATGTGGTCGCACCGCCTGTGCGCTCACTCCGCTCGCGCATGCTGTCGTCTGCACATGCACAAAGCTGCCTGCGCATGCACAGAGGCTTAAAATGTCACCAAAAAGTGACATCATGACATCCGCGCGGGTGGGTGGAGCCTCCTGCAGCCGCCGCTACCGGTTTGCCCGAGCCAGATAAAACCGGCTGAATTTCACCCCTGGTCTGTCCTGACTTATTAATGAGAACCCTGTCAAGCAAGAATGTGCTGTTGTATGTGAATGCCGCTGTGTTTCTCAATGTATGCTTAAATTCTGGGAACCTGAGTCTTCAAGTAGGCTGCTTTTTTATGTATGGCTAAGTTAAATATTCCCTGCTGCCATTTTGTATATAAGAGGATTTTGAATTTCTAGGCCTTCAGTATGAAATCATTATGAACATTGTTTGGAGTAAAAGTCAACCTATGGCACATCAGATTTTTGGTACATAGCTTATGTTTAGAAATCAGATATTTCTGGTGAGTGAATTATAAAATATTCCTTAATTTATTTTCTGTCAGAAACATATAATTAGAAAACAGCATATCATCATATTAGTAGTATCTTTTTATATCTAGAAGTGGGTAGATTTATCGTAATCATAAGCTGCTGTCTTGGAAGAACTATAACTGAATATTTGTTTAAAATACTATATACAATTTTTGTTTCTAAATCTAGTAGAATTATTTTTTAAAAAATAGTAAAAGAAGTTTATTTTAAATCTAGCTTTTGGAAATCACAATTTTTTTACATTCCAGTTGTGCTTTGCAGGGAGAATCCTGCAGCTTTGTTTAAGGTAAACAGTGTGTTGAGTTCAAATTTCAGCATATAAAATAAGGTTGGAGGACTACAAATTCCATGCCTCATCTTCTTGAGTAGTTTCCTTTCCCTGGAGAAGCTCCTCCCAATCTCCTAAAGATACACTCAACAAGAGTACTGAAAACTGGGTGGAAGCACAAACCATAAGCAGATTGTTCCTCATAGTTCACACCTTAGCTCATCCAATTTAGTTGAATCTATGACCTTTGGGAAAGCAGTATCAGTAAGGGAAGAGTCAGGGAAGTTGGTTTCCATATGCACACTTAATTACTTTGGAACCATCTCAATGTTGTTATTGTAATTGAAAGTTTTCCAATATGTTTATTTCATCTGGCATTTTTGTAGATGCTAGATCATCAAAATAGAAGTCTGCACATTGTTCTTGGAATAAGCTCTTTGATTACAGTAGATGTAAATTCAAGATGAAGCAGATAATGCTGTTAAATACTTACCTGTACACAGTTATCATTTCTTTAACTATACCATGACAATCATGGACCTGGTCCAACATATTCAAGGGACAAACTTATGGGGGTGGAGACATCACATATTGGATCTGGTTTTTGTCTTAAGGTAGTGATGTTGTGATGTATTTTGGGAATAGTAACATCAGTCCCGTAGCGGCCTGGGCCCCAAGTTCAGTCCTAGCATTTCCACTGCCACTTAGAAAGGCTCCCTCGGGCCATCCTCAAGGTGAGATTACCTCTGATGTCTAGTGTTCCCCAGGATCCATTGCAAGCCACTTACCTTCAGGCAATAGTCTTTTTCTGTTGAGTACATGGCCTATCAAGGCAGTCCCAGGTTGAATTAGACCTTCATTCTTGAAACGGCTTAGGGGCATTTCTTGTGCAACCTCTGCAATTTCCAAAAACCACATGAAATCACAGCCCTCTCATGCAACTTCTGGGGGCCCAGGGGCCACATGAGAGCAAACCCTATTCTTGCTTGGCCTGTGCAGCTTCCAAAAATCATTCAAGAATGGCGTGTACTTTTGTGCAATGTTTGGAGGCTGTGGAGGCTGTGTGAAAATGATATATGCTCTTATGTGGCCTCTGAAAGTTTTGCAAGAGGGCCCCTGGAAATTGCACAGCCTCCAGAATTTCTGAAAATCGCATGAAAACATGTTTACTTCTTGCGATTTTTCAGTCTTTCTGCAAAGACTTTCTAGCCAGAGGGGCAGGGAAGAAATTGGCATTCTATGACAGAGAAAGAGAAGTCTCCAAGCTTTGTTCCTTCAGTGCATCGTCCCAGTTCCTCTCCCTACCCTGGACTAGAAAGTCTTTTTAACTTTCTAGATCACAGGGAAATCTTTCCCTCTAGAGCAGGGAAAGAAAGGGCCAGGAAAAGAAAGCTGAAATCATTGGGATCTCAGCTTCCTTTCTCTGTCCCCAGGCACCAGTTCTTGTCGCAGAAGGCGTTGCCTGCCCTTTTTCAGCAGACAGCTCTTTCTCTTTCACTTACAATGGTAAGTCGAGGACAACCCATACAACATACAGTGCAAGGACTGACAGACTGTATCATGAATATTAGTTGGTAGTCAGAATACATGATATCTTTTTGTAAGGGCCTAAAGACATGGCTGTGCCAGTCTGTTTGGAGTCCCAGTGGGAGAACAGCACAATGGAGGTGGTTAATTGAGTGATAACAGGTTCCACCTACCCCCCCCCACTCCACCCACTCTCCCTGTGTGTCCTTGGTTTTAATGTGTATATGTAACTGTAAGCTGCCCAAAGTTACCCAATGGCAAGATTGGCAGACAATAACTTTTATAAACAACAAATAAATAAATAATAATGGTCCTTAAATTCATCACACACTGACAAGTTACAAAACAATTTCAATTGGGAAATGGTTCATAACCTGCTCAAACAGGAGACCCTATGCCATTTCAGACAAGTGGTTATCCAATCTCTTAAAAACCTCCAGCCATTCTACTGACAAATTGTTTCGTCAGGAAATTTCTCCTTATTTCTAGGTTGGTTCTCTCCTTGATTAGTTTCCATCCGTTGCTTTTTGTCCTACCTTCAGGTGCTTGGCAAATAGGTCGACCAATCTACTTATTTGTGGTAGGACCTTAGATATTGGAACGCTGCTGTCATATCACTTCTAGTCAGTGGTAAAATCCAATTTTTTTTACTACGTTTTGTGGGCGTGGCTTGGTGGCTGTGGTGTGGCTTGGTGGCCGTGGCTTGATGGGCATGGCAGGGGAAGGATATTGCAAAATCTCCATTCCCCCTCCACTTCAGGGGAAGGATACTGCAAAATCTCCATTCCCACCCCACTCCAGGGGAAGGATACAGCAAAATCCCCATTCCCTCCCCATTCCTGGGGGAAGGATATTGCAAAATCCTCACTCTGGGGCCAGCCAAAGGTGGTATTTGCCGGTTCTCTGAACTGCTCAAAATTTCCACTACCGGTTCTCCAGAACTTGTCAGAACCTGCTGGATTTCACCCTTGCTTCTAGTCCTTTTTTTCATTAAAGTGGACATACCCAATTCCTTCAATTTTTCTTCATATGTTTTAGCTTCCAGACTCCTAATCATCTTTGTTGCTCTTCTCTTCACTCTTTCTAGAATCTCAACATCTTTTTTGTGGTGACCAAAACTATTCCAAGGCATTATAAAATGGTACTAACACTTTTTTTTTTTAAATTGATTTATATGCCGCCCTTCTCCGAAGACTCAGGGCGGCTTACAATGCGTTAAGCAATAGCCTTCATACTTTTGTATATTTTATACAAAGTCAGCTTATTGCCCCCACAATCTGGGTCCTCATTTTACCTACCTTAGAAAGGATGGAAGGCTGAGTCAACCTTGAGCCTGGTGAGATTTGAACTTGCAATAATTGCAGGCAGCTGATGTTAATAACAGTGCTTTAGTCTGCTGCACTACCAGGGCTCTTCACGTAGTCTTGATTCTATCCCTCTGTTAAAGCAGCCTAGGACTGTGTTAGCTTCCTAAGGCCATCCTTAGGACAACTCTAAAGGACTTCCTTCCTCGTCACATCTCTTATTAACCAATACCCCCAAAACACCAGAGAAACAGGAACAAAGAAGTAAGAAGCAATACCCCAATTAAGGCTGGTAGAACAAGCTACCACAGTTCAACAGCCAGTAAACTTCACTCCCTTATTTGATGATAATGTTACCTAGCCTGGTAATAAAATGTCTTCATGAAGAAAAAGAAGTACAGAGAGTACAAGAAACCAGTAATTAGTGTTGTTAGTTGTATCAACCACAAAAAAGAAAATGTTAAATGTCTGGATCTTCTTTACATTTCTTATATCAGAATATCTTCCATTGGATATGGTTTTTTAAACTCATGAATTATGAATATGTATATATATTATCATGGATGGGTACACTGCAATTACATGATAAAATAATAGGATGAATATAGCCCATCCAGGAGTCGTGTACGTTTTTATAGATTGGTTTTATTTAGAAATGTGCAACACAGATGTAATTTTAAATTTTCTCCCGAAACTTTCTGACTTTTGAACTATTTGTAAGACAGTGAAAGGTGAAAGTCCTGTATTGACGATGGAAAGGTCAGACAATAATTTACCCAATAATCAGTCTTGTTTTCCATCATTGTAAAATTTTCTGGATTTTAATATATAGTTTGGAATTTCTGTAAAGTTTTAGTTGCCTAAATGAGTATTTGTGACATTCTTGGCTTTGTACTGTTGCCTAAAAACTGATGTAATTGGCAGAGTAGATTTCTGGGCAAGCATCTTGTGGTCTAGTGATGTCAGCTGTCAACACTTTTAAAGAGCCAACAATAATCTGAAAGCTGTTCTTGGGCAGGGAAGGCATTGGGCTAGCCTTATTAGTGAAGGATGCAAGTACTTTAGTCCTTCTGAGTGGTGACTGATGTGATGCTGTGTTTCCCATGAGCATTGGATTGCTTCTAGCAGGTCACTCTCTTGGCTATCCTATAAGAATGACATCAAAAACATCCTGCCAGCAAAAACATGGTACATGTGAAATTTTGTGGCATCTAGGGTTTACTTTGAAAACCCTTGTCAAAATTTTAGAAAGATTTTGTCTTTTTCTTTTTCTTCAGATCCTTGAATTATTTCAGTGATGAACGTTATTTGTGGAATAATATCCAATTATGGTGGTTCTGTAGTCTTGCTCTTTAGATTTGTTGGATGTTTTAAATAATTTTCTTTAAAATACCAAATCAACTCAGAATCAAAACCCAGAATGCAAATTTACAATGATATTCTTTCTACATAGGAATTGCTACTTGTGCCTGAACATTTAGAAGGGTCTTCTGGCAACCTATATATATTTTATAGCTCAGAATTTCTGACTTACCTTATTATTCACATTATAAAACGCTCCAGACTGTAAGACGCACATTAGCTTTAGAGGAGGAAAACAAAAAAAAAATCTGACTCTGCCTCCCATCCATCGGGTATTCATCTGGCTAGTATCCTTGTAGCAAAGAGCAAACAGCCTGCTTCCTCCATGTCTGCTGCCTCTGCCAGGGAACACTGGAGCCTTCGCTGCCGAGCAACTGATTGGCAGATGGATTGGCCTCCTGGAATACCGCTGATCAACTGTTCTAGGTGGTGGCGATTGCTGCTGCCTATTGTCGGCAGCAATTGCTGCCGCTGCTGCCTGTTACCGCCACCCGTTTGCCGCTGCCTATTGCTGCCACTGCCTGTTTGCCGCTGCTGCCCATTCACCGCCGCCTGTTTGCCTTTGTCGCTATTCATCGGCACCCGTTTGCCCACGACAATAGGTGGCAGTGAACAGGCGGTGGCGAATGGGCGGCAGCGGCAAATCAGCAGCAATAGGCAGTGGCGGTGATCCCCGCTGCCCAGAACAGCTGATCAACGGTAATTCAGGAGGCCAATCCAACCGCCGATCAGCTGCTCGGCAGTAAAGGCTCCAGCATTCCCCACCGCCGCACCAATCCCCCTCCATCCCACCACAATATTTGCTCTATAAGACGCATAGACTTTTCCATCCACTTTTGGGGGAGGGATAGTGCATCTTATAGTGCGAAAAATATGGTAATTTGTTAGCATCAAGATGGATCCTCTATTGCTGTGTTGAGCTATATAAGTCATCAACCTCATTTTGTAAGCCAATGGTAAGGAGTGTTTGGAATTGTAATTCAGTAACCTAGAGAACTAAAGATTTTCAGCTGTAACATAAATGATATTGAAAAAGGGAAAAGTTATATTCTCAGTATTTTTTTGTTGAAACAGAACAAAATCAGTATATCCAAATTAGTGTATCCTCAAAAGTAGCAGACATAATTCTGATTGCTTTGTTTATCCTTTTTTGTGCATGTGAAAGAGAGAACATGGCATGTTACCTCTACTTGTTAATTTGTAACATATCATCATACAGCTACAATATGTAGACCAGTTTTGACTCCAAAACCAGTATCAGAAAAATGATTTTCATATAATATTTCATTCAGCTAGAAGTTTTTCCAAATCCAGAACTCAAGAGAATGCAGTTAAAAGATATTAAATATGTGGTTTATGTTTTCTTAAGAGATACTTGAAGATCTAGAATCTAGGATTTTTTTTTTGATTTTTTTTTTGGCGTACTAGACCAGGAATAAAAGCAAAGTTGGGCTCCAGAGTAAAAGACCAACTGGTCTTGGTTATAAATCACATTTTACCATAAGCATTAACATGACATCAGATTTGTCTGTTAAAATATGTTGTCGCAGGCTAACACATGACACAAATCATATGCTCTTTGATTTGTTTATTCTAATCAGAGAGAAGTTCTTTGGATGGGGATACCACATGTTTATTCATTGATATGGATTAACAACCATCTAGTTAATTTGGTGTGATGACCATATTACCTCTGAAGGGAATAAAAATGGTCTGCCCCCAAATGTTCTTATTTGTTTATATTATTTTCCATACTACTATACTCTAATATGACTTCTAGCATTTTATTAATAACAATAACAGAATAAAATAGAACTAGAGTAATAAGCAAAATAATCTAGCAGTATGTCTTCCATAGATGTCTCACTCCCAGTTGTAGCAACCAGGGCCCAAATGCTGTGTTGAAGAAAAATTCTCTATAGCCTTTTCTGAATAAATTCTGTTTGCACAAATTAAAGAACAACTGATTTGTATTCTAGAGGAATCCTGGCCAAATTAGAATGAATATATGGATGGCTCTCTTTGAAGGAGCTAGGCCCGTAGAAACTAAGCCAATTGGATTCTAACAGCATTATGGTTGATTGTCAAAGTGTGACAGGATTCTTTTTGAACTGGAGTTATATTTTGTTCTTCATTGGAAGCAGTTGACACAGAAAACAAGACAATGCAGAGATTTATACTTTTAACTATATACAATAACTTATATTTTACAGCAGGACAACACAATACTGGTGTTCATCCAATGCATGGTTTCCTTCTGCCTACCTCTATTCCCTCTTCAGGACACGGGGGGGGGGTGAGTGGGAGAGGGAGGGTGAGAAGGAGGGGGGAGCGGGAGGAGCTGGAATTTACTGTAATATGCTTGGAACAGCTTGAATTTTTCCTGACTCTGCTCAGACAAATAACCTACTGTTTCTCCATTGGGGAAAGACTCTCTCTCAGGATCTTGGGTGAAGCAACCAGCCAGGTCCCTTTTTTACTAGCTTGGGTGGAGCTCTTGATCCTCTGGGTCTTTCCTTCTTCCAGGGAAGCCACCCATGGATCTTCCTTCTCCCTCTCTTCCCAGCTGATCCTTTTGTCCTGTTGCAGTCTTTGAAATGTGTTGTGTTCTGAATTAAGACAATTAACTTGGCTTTTTGAAGACTCTAAAGCATTTATTTTATCTATTTTTATTCATTCAATTTTATTTTATTGTTTTATGTTGTGCTGTAAACCTTTGTAGTTGGCAGATAACAGATTTAATTAATAGAATAAAGAAACAAATGTACAAAAAAAATATTGGAGTAAACTAAACAAAGAGTCATGTTGGTTTGCAACTACCAGTAGAAGTATTCCTTTGGACATAATCAATTTTGAGAAAAACCAACATGACTCTTTGTTTAGTTTACTCCAATATTTTTTTTGTCCTGAATTTGAACAGAGAAAATACAAATGGGTGATGATGTGCTTGGGAAAAAGAACCTACAGTATAAGTGTGTTTAGAACATGTTAACAAAGTGTTTCAATTCCCAAAGAAGCAGATCTCAAAGTTATGCTTGCATGAGATGCTCAGATATTATTAGGGGTGGTGCCATTTGTAATCTATGTGCTATTTGTTATAGAAGGTTAGAAGCTTATTGTGTTATGCAGAGCCTAAGTAGCTCTTTTGGGTCCCTTTAATCTAGATACTGGGCTTTAAATTCGTTGTAAAAAGCTAGAACAAATAGTACTTGAGTTGAAATAATATGGTAACTTGATACCTTACAAAAATAACAGTTTATATGGATTAAAAATGACACCATATGCTGAGTGAAGCTTATAGTTATAACTTAGTTTGACATTGGGTAAAGAAAATAAAGCTTTAGAAAATGAATTTAAGTTCAGATAAGATTTAAGATCTAATGAAAACAATTTGATGGAAAAATCAGAGTTTCATTCTCAAAATGATTACTATGAACATATATCAAGATTGCTGCTTTAGGATGATTTCCTGGAAAAATTTAAATTAAAAAAAAAAAGCTTGAAATACATAAAATAACCCTGAAAGTACGCAAAGAAACAGACTTGTTTCTCATTTATAATAAGCTTGTTCCTATGAAAATAATTCAATAATAAGGCACTTATCAAGTTTGGCTACTGTAGAACAAATAGATCATGGAGTAACATAATTTTTTTCTTTCAGACATTCTGGATGAGTAAAAATCAGCTGCAATTTGAAGTGATATATTCCACAGCGGACTTTGTGGACTTTCTTTAATGTTTATAACTCTGTTAAGGCAATAATAAAAATAAAACTTAATCCATGCTGTCAGCTATTTGTTTTAGAGATGTTGTTTATAAGTGTTAAATGCCACAAATACCTGCTGCTCTGCAGCATTAGTTGAAACCAAGGACAGGGGCCAGATTTCTGTTTGCCAGATGTGATCTTGAACAAGTTTCATGAACTGCGTTACTAATAGATGAGTATGCGTATATCTTCTATACACATGTATATTATCTCATAGATACGGATTGCACTGCAATTGGATGATGGTTCTAGACTCCAGGACACATTCAGCTCCAGTCAGACCTTGTGGGATATTCTTCACCATTTTGCACAGACCAGGTGAGTGTAAGAACAAGAATTTAAAAAAGGAACATGAACATACAACATTTGAAACCAAATTTTATGGGCAACTAAGATGTAGAATGAATATCTGCTATGCTGTTACTTCACTAAAATCTCTCTTAAAACAAATACAGCCTAGGAATGTATTTAGTCTTGCTCAAAATCCTGCATTATTGAACAGATCTGTAGTATAATGGCCATTACTTTAGATAGAATTTGATCATATTGTGATAAGAACATGCAGTAAGATAGTCAGATAGCATTAATTCACTTATCTTAAGATGATCAAAATAATGTTCTCTTTAGAGAAATTGGTAGGTTTCACTATTTAAAATAAATGATTTAACTAAGGAATTATATAGAAAGCCAATTTAAACTTTACTTGGGTTGTTTTCTCCAATCCATTTGGAAAGAACGGTATACTACATTAGTTGTATCAATAAAGGACCCTTTGTCATTTTTTCTGAATCTATAGACAAGCAGTAAAAAGGAAAAACAAGTCTGGCTGAGACTATATAATAAACTAGACAACATGTCACCCATTAGATCATCATTTCAAATATATTTCCTTACCTAAACAGAAACCGAAAGACCACAGGCGAGCAAAAATTCATTAAGAGTTGAGAATTTCCCTTTACCCTATACTTTTCTCTCTTCCCCTTTTCCTCCCTTATTTTCCCATTGTCTTCATTTTTCTTTGTATTTCTGTATTTTATATTTTGATAAACTAATAAAACATTTGAACTGGCACAGGGCTAGGAGAGAGGGACTGCCTCACCTGGCTTTCTTGCCTAAGATTGGTAAATGAATACAGATTGATATTGTTATATACCCTGGACCTTTTAATTTGGAGATCCTTCTATATTATGATATTCTTAACCAATTATAATTATGTTAAAGTAGTAGAAGTGAGAATGGTTTCCAACTTCCTGTTATCTTCCTCATTGAGTTTCTTTGAGGGCAGCTGGCAGGGAACATTGGAAATCTTCCTTCCTTCTTTCCTTTCTTTGATTGTGGGAAACTATCAGGGAACTTGGGCAATCGAGTTTGCACTTCTTGTTAAGTTCCCTATGGTCTTGGTGACTTGGAAATGACAATCATCTGACCATGACTGATCACAGTGGCGCAGCAGTGTTGAAGCAGCCATAAATTTGCTGAATTTCAATCCCAAAGAGCCGTGAATCAATTTTGGACGCATTCTGTAAGTTAGCCCATTTGAGATATATTGATTAAGAAATTATTTCCCTATAAAGTACCTTTTCTCCAAATTGAAGATTACAAACAAATAGACACCACAGTTTAAGGGGTATATAAAAGACAAATCCATGTGTTGATCGTTGTGTTGTGTGTTAAAAAATACTGTATTCAAATACAGTTTGGTCCTGAAACTTCATTGGTTTCCTCTGTCATAGTTTGTTATATTGCACATTTGTTTTCATGCCTTAAGTAAGTTTCTTTCACTATTATATTTCTGTGCCTGGGAATATTTATATAGTCTTCAAAATTTTTAAACTAAAGCAATTGACTTTTCCACTAGAGTATATATTTCTTCCCCTTGATTCCTTTGGTCGCAAAAGTATGATTGGATAATATATGAAATGACTGGTAAGACCAGAAAAACCACAAAACAAAACGATCACCTTATTTTTCTGCCATTCTCCTCAATTTTAACTTTTATGCTTCACTATACTTTTTCTCTCTGGTGTTAAACAACTCTGATTATTTTATACTAATAATAAATTGTACATATTATGTACAACTTCCTAGGTTCTGATATAATCAAATGGGAACATGAAGAACAGTTATTCTGGAATTGACGAGATTTTTCTCTTGTCTGTTGGAAAAGATTCTACAGAAATAATAGAAAATATTTGCAGCTCGGGTTTTAGATTTTGGCAGTGGCTTGCTCTCCAAATTCTACTATTCTTCAGAGTGTTTCAATTCAATTGTTGACTGGACATTTCCAAGCAATTGAGGTGTTATTTTAAAAAAAGGTTTCTTATTGCCCTTTGTATCTTTTAGGGTTTTTTTAAAAAAAGGATTAGCCTATGCTTCATATATTCTGTGAATTATGAAGCTTCTGTGATGGTTTGCCTCCCTCTTGCTGCAACCTACATTTAGTGTTCTTTCTGTCTGAAGTGGATTCAAGACTCCTTAAAAACAAATGTCAAACTAATAATCTGTACTTCACAGATGATTTGTTACTTAACTTTGTTTTTTGTGGCCTAGAAGGCTGAACTTCTTAAATTGTAAACAATTGTTGCAAATTATGCTGAAGCATCTTTCTCTTCCTTCTCCCTCTTCCCCCCAAAACCACTTCTTAGCGTGCTTGCCTAATAGTTAGAAAAGGACCATCACTGATGTGCATTTTTTGTCTCTATTTGTTCTTTGATTTTTACATGTGTGTTTCTGTGTGTGTGTCTGTGTGAGAGGGAGGGAGGGAGGGAGGGAGGGAGGGAGAGAGAGAGAGAGAGAGAGCCCTCTTCTAGGTTCCTTTCTGTTTTAAAACACATTTACTAGCACCCATTTGTTATGTTATAGGATTGTTTTATTGGTAGTTATTTCTTTCAGAATCGGAACTGTTCCAGCAATATCTCAGAAAGACTGTCAGACTAGAACGTCCAAAGCAGTGATGATAGGACCATCAAGAAAGGGTGGATGAGCCAACTTGAATGCTTGCATGAATAACAACAGATGACTGTTTTGTTTTTTGCCAACCTTTGATTTACAGTTTTTTGTACTTTTCCCCTGACACATTCCAGATACAATTTCACAAATAATATTGTTTATGTCTAGTGAGTTGTGATTACATAGAAAATCTAATTAGAAATATCTCCAAAAGATGTCACTTATTTCTTTGTCCATGTGTTGGTTCATATTTTAATATATGCATTAAACCATTATGTAGGGGTTCACTGGTAGAGGTTTTATCTTTTTGTCATTTTAACAATCATTTAAATTTAGTCTCCACCATCTTTAAAGTGATCTAATAAATCACCTCTTGTTTATTTAGTTCATATTTCCTACTCAGTGAACTTCAGCTACATTTTATAGATTCTGTACTGATCCCTTGTATAAATTAGTGTCTTGTATGGAATCAGTTCCTTGCTTGAAAACAGTTTCAGACTGTAAGAAGTTCCCCTTTCACAATTACATCAGAGGTGGTATTTAGCAGGTTCTGACCAGTTCCGGAGAACCGGTAGTGGAAATTTTGAGTAGTTTGAGAACCGGTAAATACCACCTCTGACTGGCCCTGCCCCCATCTATTTTCTGCCTCTTGAGTCCCAGCTGATCGGGAGGGAATGGGGATTTTGCAATAACCTTCCCCTGGAGTGGGATGGGAATGGAGATTTTACAGTATCTGTTCTGCCCCAGCTACGGATCCCAAAGAACACAGCACACACAAACTCTGAACAAAACTTAGTTTACTCAGATAACACAGTTTTAGCAGATGCCGGCTGTTAATAAGCGTTCTTAACAGCCTGCCAGAATTCCACAGATAAGATAGAGTCTTACTGAAGTTGGCAGAAAGCCCAGAAGCAAGGTTGCAGAGAAATCCCAACGCGATGATTAGCAAACTAAAGTTGTTTCCTGCAGCTTGTTACAAGCTGCGTTCTTTCTTAAATAGGCTAAGGGCGTGGACAATTAGCCCCAAGCCTTACTCTTGAGGAGACCTCCTCCTGAGGAACCACTCCTGCCTTTTGGCAGCTCTGCGTGCCCGTGCATTGAGAAGAGGTTCCTCTTCTTCATCCTCTTCACTTAAAGGAGCCTCTGGAGGTTCTGAAGGCCCTGACTGAATCCCTGCTTCTGGCACCACATCTTCTTCAGCCTCCTTCCTGTCCGATTCAAGCGCCGGCTGCCCAGGCCGCCCAGGCTGCCCAGGCTGCTGGCGCAGCACCAGCCTCCTTGTCGTCAGGATCAGCAACAATCCACGCAGGCCGCTGGCGGGCCACAACAGTATCCCTCCCCTGGAATGGGGAGGGAATGGAGATTTTACAGTATCCTTCCCCTGCCATGCCCACCAAGCCATGCCCACCAAGCCATGTCACGCCCACCAAGCCACGCCCATAGAACTGGTAGTAAAAAAAATTGAATCCCACCACTGAATTACATAAATGCAGAATGCAATATTTTTATGTAGACGAGATTTTCTCTCCTCTCTCTCCTTCACTGTTTTGCTTCACATCCGTTCTGAAAAAGATTTCTGAAGGGCTGATAAAAACACAACTGTGTTAAAGGTCCACAACATTCAGTGATACGTGCTAATACATACTGATAGCTGTGAAAAACAACTAGGCATCATAATAACATTCTCTTGTTTCTATTACTCAGCAACTGATATTTAGTTAAATATTGCCTCTATTATTGGAGGCCATATATAAATATCTTAATTAGAAGTTGTGAAATAAGAATTATCTACCTTGAATTTGCCCAATCCTTTTAAAGTAATGCAAGTTAGCAACCCTCTCAACAACATATGGTAGTGTTTTCCATAATTTAACCATACACTTTATGAAGATCTTCCAAAAATTTAACTGCCATTTAGTTTCATTGGAAGAATGTGGTTTAAAAGACCTCCTTATTTAAGCTCCCAAAGCATTATAACTTTCTTCATCAGGAAATTGCTTCAGCTCCGTAATCATCCAGTGTTGTCATCATTTTAGGTTTTTGATTTTTGTGCTTAGTTTCAACTGTACAATACAGCTCTTGGTTATGTAATGCAGGTAGTCCGGACTTATGTTCACAATTTAGTTCAAAATTTCTGTTGTTAAGCAAGATAGTGAGTTTTGCCCCATTTTATGACCTTTTTTGTCACAGTTAAGTGTATCACAGCAGTTGTTAAGTTAGTAACATAGTTAAGTGAATCTGGCTTCCCCATTGACATTCTTGTCTAAAGGTTGGAAAAGGTGATCACATGACCCTGGGATACTGCAACCATCATAATGTGATGAAACTGAAGTTGGAAATCAAAGTAGTATTGCTCATCTACTATTACT